ATGACACGATTTCTATAAGGTCATCTGAATAGATGTGCCTTGGCGCAAAATCTACTGCGCCAACGCATCTTTGAAGACAAGATCGATATCTGCTTTCTCTGCGAACAATATATGAATATTCAAGATAAAACATGGTTCGCCAATAAATGTGGCCGTCAATAACAACGGAAGCGGAGAGAGTTTCGTCTGGATCAAGACTTCCACGACCTACTATGTGAGCGTTTACCTTTCACCAAATGAAAGGATTAGCGTGTTTTGCCAGAAAATGGCAAAGCATAAAAGACACTATCGGCAAGTTCGACGGAGAAGTCATTGTAGCTGGTGAATTCAACTCAAAATTGTCCGAATGGGGCGTCAAATACTCGGACACCAGAGAAAATGACGTGGCAGACTTTGCAGAAATATTGAACCTTAATGTGATAAATACTGGGAGTATTACAACTTTTAGAAGACCAGGATATCAGGAATCTATCCTCGATATCACGTGGGTCACTCCAAGGACAGCAAACATGATTGGAGACTGAACTGTATCAGGAGAGTATAGTGGCAGTGATCATCAACATGTGACATTCAGTAATGGATCTGGTCCGGCTCGGCCATGCAACTTTCACAAACGGAGGGGGAATACTTAGAAGTTTGACCCTGAAAAGTTGCGAGCAGCCCTCGAGCTACTCTTCAAATTGAATCAACACTAAGTACCCGCAGAGAGACGGAAACAACAGTCTTTATCCACAAGCAAAAAATTAGGGTGTACACAGTCCAGCATATTAGTGGTTATCAGAGATAGCAGAACTACGAAACAGATGCCATGCACTACTTCGCCGCGCCACAAACGAGTACAAACAGGCAAATGTCTCTGAATAAAGCCATATAATCAGCTAAAACCGGATAGTGGAAAGAGATTTGCAACGATCTCGACAAATATCTCTGGGGCAAAGCCTTTCAAATTGTTGCAAAACAAGTTGGTGAAGCTTTACCAGAAGAATTTTGATAAATAGCATCGTAGCATAACTATTTCCTAAACACCCGCCACGGAAAAAGAGATAATACGTCGAAAATAGTAAAATTACACTCTTCACTGTCAAGATGCCGCGAAAACCATAAAGACAGAAAAAGCACCAGATCCTGATGGCATCCCAGCCTCAGTGATCAAGACTGTAACCCTGAATTTTCCAGAAATTCTCCTGAACGCCTACAATGCCTGTCTGGCAACTGGCGCCTTTCCTACGGTGTAGAAGTGGCAAAGGTAGGCGACAATATATAAAGGTACGGAACCCCTGTAACACCATCCTCGTTTAGACCACTCTGCATGTTAGACATTGCTGGAAAAATGCTCGAGAAGCTCATTCAATACAGACTGCGCAACGATATTGAACGCGCCGGAGGATTGAAATTTGAATATGATGAATCAATACTATTGATTAAAGTGTTTTTTTTTTAACTTAAATAATAAAATAATATTTTTAAAAATATAATAAATTAAAATAAAAAATTGTTAAATGAATTCATATTTTAATCGAGTGGATTTAAAAAAAAGCCGCAGCAGATTTTAAATTTTATTGGCTCATCGTGTGCGTATATATCCAACTTAGGTTATAGAAATATATAATTTTTATAAATTTTAATAAATTTAGACAGAAATTTACTAAAAAAAAACAAAACACTAAAATGGCAAATGTCAATAATTATGGAAACTTCGAGAAAAAACGATGTATGATTTTTGAAAAAAAAATTGACGGTTCAAAAAATATATTATTTTCACTAATTAAAAACGCTTTTGACAGATGATGTTCAATTACGTTTAATAGGATGTTTTACGCAAATATTATTTATTTATGATAAATTTGTAGTAAGTAGTTTTGTTTGTAGTTTTATTTATATACAAAAACGTTAGTAAATGGGCCGCAAGTGTTACTAGAGACTCAAAATATAAACTTTTTTGATATGTTAATATGAAAATGCACTTTTTGGCATATTTTTCTCATACACGGTGCTCTGAAAGATCTCATTTGTATAATTATATACTCATTGGTATTTATAAAACATTTTCTAGGTTATATTATTTTTTATTTATTTTATTTAAATTCAGAACCTAAATTTGGTATCGATCAAATGGACATTTTGTCGAATAACATTTTTCCAGTTTTAATTTCCCAGAATTTATCGCAGAATAGATAGTAATATATAAAGGTCCGGGATTAAACAGGTCCACTACCGATGTGCCTAAAATCAGTAAAGTTAAGCATTGTTTAACAGCAATATTTGAAAGTAGAGGAAAAAAGATGTATACCCAGGTACAAACTTGATTTGAAAATCAAATCTTTGAAATGGAGGAGATAAACGGTAATCTTTGAAAATCCATAATAAAAGTATTTTTTTCCTAAAGTTTTAGCATTAGTTAAAAATGTAATTATTTTGTAAAATACCTTTAAAATTATAATAAGGCTTTAAACCTTTTGCCACCTGCCCGTTACAAGTTTCCCCGCATATAGGATAAAAAGGACTAGATAACAAATTTTTGGAAGACATCAAAAAAGTACATTTCTACAATGATGAAGTAGAAGTCAGTTTACTGAACGTAGTCAGATAATTGTTCGTTTGATATGTCTTATTTGTTGTGATATATTTGTTATGGTTTTCACAATATAGTTTATATTTGCTCAAAGTCAAATTGTACCTTTGTGTCTCGCCCTGCTCTACATATATACTTTTTATTAAATTTACTTTAATTCATAGAATATAACTTGCAACTTTTCAAAAAGCAGGTCAAAGAAGAAATACTTAATTCATTTTTTATCTCTCCTCGCAAAAATTTGAAAATTTTGTATAAGCTCAGTAGTATTATTTACAATTATACACAAAATCTAAAATCCAAAATCCAAAAAGAATCTGAAAAACTTGAAACGTAATTAATAAGCCAAAAGGCCAAAAAAGACTCGGATTGGATTATACGATGTTTTCTATAGAAAGTGTATAAAACTTGCAGTTTGATTGTATTGACAAAATATAGACAAACTAATGGGGTTTATTGTTTTTATAATACCTTATTATATACAGCATTCAAACAACACATCCTTATGCACTTAAAGTATTAATATTTTTGATTCTCTAGAAATGGTTTAGCAAAACAACGTTTGCCGGGTCAGCTAGTATATATATATATATATATATATATATATATATATATATATATACATGGTCTGTTCAAAAAGTACCCGGAATTACTAATAATTAAATTTCGCGGGTCTGGAGTGTCTGATTGTCAAAATTTTTTTCATTGTGTTGGTATACATGCCCCTAAAGTATGATGAAATTTTCAGCTATATTCACTGTTTACTTTGTCTGTGGTAGTCGCTAAGGTTCGACGTGTTTTTCTGAGCTCGGCGATTTTTACAATGGAAGAATTGAAAAAGTCAAAGAATTTGTATTAAATTTTGCGTAAAAAATGAAATAAAGTGTTGCAAAGTGCAAAAATTCACCAGATATGGCTCCGTGTGACTTTTTCCTATTCCCAAAGTTGAAGAGACCCATGAAAGGACGGCGGTTTTCCTCGATTGAAGAAAATCGCCGAGAGGGCTCAAGGACATATCAAAAAGTGAATATCAAGGGTGCTTCGAAAATTGGAAAAAACGCTGGCATAAGTGTATTATATCTGGGGGGGACTACTTTGAAGGGGACCACATTAATGTAGACGAATAAATAAATATTTTTTTGAAAAAACGAAAATTACGAAAACTTTTTGAACAGACCTCGTATATATATGAGTAAGTTTGCACATACGTATAATATGAGAATATAATAAATATCGAGCACCATGAACCATATTATTAGTTTATAGCAGAAAATATATTTTTGCATGAAAAGCTATTTTCATTATTAAAATTCGTATTAATGCTATCAAACAATATACGAAAAATGGCGCATTGTATTAACGAGAGCAAATCTTGCAATAAAACATTTCACTTAAACAAACTAAGATGTCCTGATATTTAAATTAATCGCCAGAAAATTCCACCTGCTAAAAATGTTAAATATCTGGGAATATATTTGGATCGAAAACTAACATGGCAAATTTATATTACTGCAAAATAAAACAAATCAAACAGAAAATTGCAGACCTGAATTGGCTAATGAGGCGCAAATCAATTGTATCGCTTGACAACAAGTTATTGATATATAAATCTGTAATAGTCCCATCTAGGCCTATGGTATAAATATTTGGGGTTGTTCTAGTATGTCTGACATTGTATTAATACAACGAATACAATCCAAAATCTTAAGGCAGATCACCGACGCACCTTGGTATGTCAGTAATAAAGTCATCCATGACGACCTCAATATTCCTTTTGTTAAGGACGTAATTAGAACCAGAAGTTTAAACCATCGCAAACTATAAAACCATCTGAATCATCTTATAGCACCTCTACCTATGACTCCGTCTACTAGAAGGTTGAAAAGAGGAATTCCTTAGGACTTGACAAACTAGTGAACTGTTCATTGGAACAGTTTTACAGTAATTATTTAGTTCATATTATTTTTATTTTTAGTTTCTATATTATTTTTTTAGGTATAGTTTCCTTCTTATATCAGCTCTGTAACTTTTTCTCTGTGTAATTTTGACTCTGATCGTTGTAATTAAATAATATATATATATATATATATATATATATATATATATATATATATATATATATACAGGGCCGGTCCTGCCTTGCATGCAAAAAAGGGGGCGCCAAAACGAGTTTCGGAAAATAAATTTATAATATATTATTTATATTTTTTATTATTTATATAAAATCTAGAATATTTAATGAATTATAATAAAAAATCTAACTTAACTATGAATACGGAGACACGAAAAGCGTATTTATTTGGCAATGTGATATCAGTAGAAACAATTAAATGATTAATAATAACAGCTGAAAATTAGTATTAGTAATTAGTAAATAACATCTATATTTATTGCTTAATCTACATATTCAATTTTTCTCTGTTTGAAGTTACCGTGAAGTCGAAAAACAAAATATCTTGTTCAATCTCATAATCTCATAAGCGCAAACCTGCGAAAAATTAAATTAACTATTGGGCATTATTGACGAAAAATTGCGAACTGATTTAGTTGAAATGGAACTTGTTAAAAAATATAAACAAATTATAATCGGGAAAGAGAAAAATGGGGAGTCAGTGATTAGAAAATGGCATGTTTATTCCGAGAAATTGAATTGTAACTTTGTTTTTATTGCAAATGTTTCGCACCTGATGAACTTTGAACGTTGAAGATATGCGTGGTTAGGGTTATGAAAATGGAACTATAATTTAATAATAATGAACTATAATTAATTGGTATAATTTAATTATTATTAACTATGCAGAAATAATATATATCAAATATAATAAGTTTTTTCTTTCAATATAATTCGAGAAATATTTAATTTCTTTGCATTTTTTACTGATTTTTTGAAAATCCTTCTAAAATACATTGAATATTTAACTTTAACCCTCGCGACTAGAATGTTGCCGCTCCGGCGACAAAATTCATATAAATCTTGCAATTCGCGAGTGGAAAGGGTTAAAACAACAATCTGATACTCTGAATATGAGGGAAAAGCAAGGATGCATACAATTCGGCTCTTACGATATCAAGTTTACGACGAAATTTTGGATGTTGTAAATACATAATAAAAAATTAAAATAAATTAAAATTTGAAAAATCCAATATGAAATACGAGTGAAAATAAAAAGCTAGTTTTTTTAGCTCTCTTGACATGATTTGCTCAATAGAATAAATTGCATAATAAATAAGTATAATGTTTCAAAACCCAAATATTAATATTGCACATACGTTAAAAATATTTGAAAATTTAAAAATATTTGATTATAATCAATCCGCGAATCGTCTCGATTTTCTAAATAAATTTAAGATCAATGTATTATTTTATACGTTTTAGATTATATCTAATTTTTTGTATACAAAATCCAGAAAAATTGAGAATAAAATTTAAAAAAATGTGAATATTTATATAATTTTAATGATAAACTATTAAAACAGTTAAAATTAATAGGGAGGGGGGGGCGCTAGAAAAAAGTTGCATGCGGGCGCTAAGGACCCCAGGACCGGCCTTGTATATATATATATATATATATATATATATATATATATATATATATATATACTAGATGACCCGACAGACGTTGTCCTGTACCCACCTCTACGTTTTTAATATCCTATAGTATAGGATAGGACCAATACTAATATTTATACCGTTCAGTTAAAAATAATCATTATTGTTTTTTGAGTGACTATTTACACCAATATATGAGTGATGTTAAATGTAGTACTGTTTCAAATAAAATGATTATTCTCAATTCCCACAGTTAACACTTTAATTATCCCTTTAACAAATATTAAAATATGTTCAATAAAATTATATATTAAAAATTATACACTGCGATTTATAGAACAAATTTATTTTCAATAGCTCAATTTATTTTATTGAATTTAAAGGTTATACAATATTTTTAGACATACCTGTAGATGTGGGTGTTTAAATGAATGATTTTTTGTTTATTCACGGCTAAAACATTAATTTTCCAAATTTATCACCATGTATTTATTGTCATATCATAGATACACGTGTTGAAAATTAAAATCTTTTAAAAAGTATAACAAATTCAGAAAGAATTAATATATAGCATGCGGTCAAGGTACAATATCACCTCGGATTTTTCTACCCAAAATAATTGCTTTAATAATGTTGCCTGCAATTTTTATAATTTTGTACCATATTTTAACTGGCTTTTAGTATTTTAATATCTAAATTGCATTTTCACACTAATAATTCAATATACATTATTACTTAAGTTCATATTTGAAGTGAATTAATTTGTCAAATTTTGTTCACATGTGCTCTATTCAACCTACTATCAACAAAATTATTGCAGTAAATGGAGAGGAAAAAAGCGTATGCCCAGCTAGTCTTAATCTAAAGTTCAGAAGTAAAAACAATTTGCATTTCCCCCACATTAATTAGATTATAACTCTTTTAATTCTGATTTTATCATAACTTGTAATATACTATTTTAAAGGTGATTAAATGAGCTACAACTTTCTCTATTATAAATTTTACCGTAACTTCTCTTATTTTGAAACGGCGAAGGGGTAAAAGGCTCGAAAGACACTTCGGTTGGACAGCCGCGCACTCTTTAAACAATTAGAACTCTATCATTATATTTGTGTAACAAAAAAAAATAAAAAGCAATAATTAGTCTGAAAAATACCTTGAATTTTCATATATATATATATATATATATATATATATATATATACATGTATATATATATATATATATATGTAGCGACCTGTCAACACACATCGCATTTTAACTTGACAGATGTTCATTATTTGAAGCTCATCATAGTGTCAGCTCAAAAACAAAAAGTTCAAGTGTCAGATTGGACACGGCTTTTGTTTCTCCCTTGTCGGTTTTACTAAAAATGTATCATTCTTGAAACCTTTCTTTTCGATTATAAATAAGAAAATACCAATCACATTTTATTAACGATAAATATGACAACACATAGTGTCGTGGATATTAATCATACATAAAATAAACCAAATATAAATAATATTTTATGGAATTTATTATTACTACAATTTGGATAATATTGGTATTAATATTGAGGACTACTACACCTCCATATTTTGGTGACCCCGAGAGTGAACTAGCAACACACATACAAGAAGGTAAGAAGATCAAGACATATTTTGAAGTTAAAAAAAATAAATTGAAGTCTCAAGAATTATTAAGAAAAGAATTTTTAAAAATATAAATAATTATTATAAATGACTCACAACTACCGTAATTCGAAGAGCACTCTAAGCATACAACTGAGACTTCGACCACGCACTTCAAGATCAACAACAACACGTGCTCAATAAATCCCTCATTATCCTGGAAAATGAGTCGATTATGAGCACCACGGCAGAGGACAGGGAGCACCAACAAACATCGGCAACCGCCATTCAAAAGGGCCACATATACTCAACCGCTAACTCACCAGCGAAGGGCCACATACACTCAACCGCTAACTCACCAGCGAAGGGCCACATACACTCAACCGCTAACTCACCAGCGAAGTGTCAAATATACTCAGCCGCTAACTCACCAGCGAAGTGTCAAATATACTCAGCCGCTAACTCACCAGCGAAGGGCCACATCTACTCAACCGCTAACTCACCAGCGAAGGGCCACGTAAGCAATCAACAAACTCAACAAGCCAACACGGCATTCAAAACGGCCACGGCCACGAACAAATAAAATTTATCACACAATCTCAACCAAAAGAAATTTACAAGGAAGTTCAAGATGGCACTCAGAGATGCGAAACAATCTTTTTCATTAGGGCGGAGTGATCTGTAGCGACCTGTCAACACACATCGCATTTTAACTTGACAGATGTTCATTATTTGAAGCTCATCATAGTGTCAGCTCAAAAACAAAAAGTTCAAGTGTCAGATCAGATCTCGTTTTTGTTTGCTCAATGTTCGAAATGCCTAAATTGTAATTCCTTACTTTTTTCCTTTTTTTATTATAAATACTGAAATAACATCTACGTTTTTGTAAATGATCAATATAATCACACATAGTGTTATTACTATTGTCATAATAAACAATATTCGTAGTATAGAGAACACGAGTTTCTTTATATATATATATATATATATATATATATATATACTTTTATACGTATTCTTTCAGAGATATTATGATGAAAAATGGATTTTTTATGAAATCATAAGTTTTTTGAAAATCGTTTGTACTAATGTTATAGTATTTTCTAGAGTCCATCAAGATCTCTCAAACCAAGTTAATTCTAGATGGAAAACAATTATTTTTAATTTTGGTGGAAATGGCACTCATGAACTATTTGATTTAAATGAAAAAAAAAATTGTATGCGTCTTTTAATTGCATGATAGCTCACTCATTTTACACGCAGAAGTACTTCTTTTAAAGCTTATTTGGAGAACTATAAAAACCCATTCTCATAATTAACTTAATATTGTTCCTAGAACACTGTAAAATAGCGATTTATTAGGATTTTAATTGATATAATTTTGTTCATTACATAATTTTCGTTAAAATGTATATTTTTGAAGATATTAGCGAAAAAAGATGAAAAACGCAAAAAAGAAACAAATTTACAGTAACCAGTAACTTGAAAAGTATTTGCTTTTTTGAAAAACATTATTAAACATTTTTCTCTTATAATTAGTTCTTTTATCCACACCCAACGTTATTACACCACTGAAAAGAAATGGCATTCCCCCGGGTAGTGCAAAGGAGTCTAAATTGTTTTCACTTTTGAACTTGAGAGTAAGATGAGCCTAATTCCAAAATTCTAAACGAATTGGAAAACAGTAAAAAAAAGTTCAGACCCAAAGCGCTCCATTGAGTAAATATTCCGTACAAAATGCCAACCATATGAATTTTTGACACAATAAAACTTCTAAATAATTTTTTGAATAGGTATTTTTTTTGTATTGTGACTTAGTATAGTAAGTCAAAACGACCGCAAATTGAATATTTTTGAGCGCAATCACTTATGGCTCGTCCCCTTTGCACGAATTCGTACGGCGAATCTGTTCGCAAAGTGCGTTGAGAACACGATTCGTCGTGCGCGTCGATCGCATGCGCAGACTGTCAGACGCATGTAATATTATTTGCATCTTATATTATTTTAATTATGGCACATCTCAGCTGCTTTTCGACAATAATAATGTAGACATTACATTTTCTTTATTTTTAATTATGAATTTATTATATTTTAATATTGCCTTAGCCTATAAGTGAATAGAAATGTTTGGCAAATGACAGTTGTCATTTGTTTTTAATGTCAAACCATGCCTTAAATATTTTAAAGGTCAAACAATGATGAGCGGTTTTTTGTAATTTTTTCGATTTATTTCTACAATCAAACTATATTTCTATGAATCAAAACATTCTAGAAAATTTCCCGAACAAACTTCAGGAAGATTCATGAAAATCCGAACTTTAGTTTAGGAGGATTAATAAAACTTACATTGTTACAGAAGAATTTTATATATAAGATGATAATAATAATAATAAATAGTTTAATAGTTTAATATATATATATATATATAAATAGTTTAATAGTTTATAATAATAATAGATAGTTTCGTACCACGTGTCTTTGTAAAAGCATCGTTTACAATCAAAACTTTAATTTTAATTTGCGAGAGCAATTAAACTGAAATTAAGTTAAATTATTTCAACTATTTTATTATTCAAAATCATTGTAAGTACTCTCTAACACTTTTTTATAAAATCTAAAAATACTTAAAAATATAATTTAAAATAATGCCAGAAACACGGAATGTTTTAGTACAAAATAGTTTTAAATTGTCTATACATAAATCACATTTTACATACTTGTTAAACGCAATGTAAAATTTAGAAAAAAATGTCGACTTTTTTTAAATTCACCAGTGATGTCCGTAGTGTCCGAGGGAATTAACAGTAGGTCCAGTTTTAGAAACAACGGCATTAAAACCATCTCTGTCGTTGGCTGCATATTTAACTGTACGTACGGAACCATCAGGTTCAACCAAGGAATATTGACCTGAAATATATTATAATGGATTTCAAATGTATAAAATAATTTTCAGATAATAATTATTAACACTAAGTTACCTTTTACTGCATCTCCGTCACGAATTTCATGTTGTGATTTGACGTCTCCGGTATGGTGGTCGTTAACACCATATTGAAATGAGAATTGGGGATAAGTCTACAAAAACAAATAATTATCAAATTATTACAAGATAATATGTATTTCACATAATTTTAGACTTACATGAGGAAAATTATGTACATGTGCGTAGGAGTTGTGGTGACCATAGTTCGAGCCATGTCCTGAGTAAACTAATCCATGGCTGGCGTGGTTAAGGCCATGACCACTATATCCATGAGCATAGTGGTTGTTGTGGTTTACTAGATTTGAGTAACTTTGGGCACCATATCCATATCCATGTCCATAAGCAGCATAGTTTTGGTACTTATGGTGCCTATAATTGTGGTGCCCATAACCGTGGTTTCTGTAATTATGATATTCAACTGGTGGGTCGTGAAACACTGTTGAATAGCTCACAGCTGATCCTCCATGACTATAAGCGCTAACTACTACCAACGAGGCACAAAGAGCAATTACCTTAAATTTATGAGTAACAAATTATAATCACGCAACAATATAGTGAATAATAGTTTTTTAATCGTAGTTAAATCAATAAAATTGTATCAAATATTTTAAATATAGTATAAACTTATATATTCACCTTTACGAATGTCATGCTTAGCGCTATTTGGGTTGGCTGTCAACTGATATTTTTTTCATGATATTCTCAACTTTTATAGAAAACTTCGATGAGCCAGTCTGCTAAATAGTTCGGAACGAATGGCAAGGTCGTGATTGTTAGGCGCTAACCCCGCAATAAATTCATCATGTGCATTTCTCAATGATTTTTTTTCTATGTGTTATGGGGTTTACATAATATTTTATTATCGGCATTCTCGCAAAAGACATATCTCGTATATAAGCCCAAAATTTTATGATAAATGTATCAGTATAGTTAAATTATTATACAAAAATCAATATGGCATTTATTAAGGTAAGTAAACATTAATTTATTTTATTTAAATATTAGTTTAATAAAAGATTTCTCGTAAGATTAGTTTTACATTTTGTAATGATATTAATATTAATTTAGGTTATTATACTTTTTGCATTATTGGCGGTTGTAAGCGCTTATGGTCATGGAGGATCCCTGAGCTACTCCTCCGTGTTTCAGGACTCACCAGTTGGATATCATAATTACGGAAACCATGGTTATGGACACCACAATTATAGGCACCATGGGTACCGAAACTATGCTACTCATGGACATGGATATGGATATGGCGCCCAAAGTTACTCAAATCTAGTAAACCACAACAACCACTACGCTCATGGATATACTGGTCATGGCCTTAACCACGCCAGCCATGAATTAGTTTACTCAGGACATGGCTTGAACTATGGTCACAATGCCTACGCACAAGGACAAGATTATCATAACGTAAGTTTGAAATTATGTACAATACATAAATTTCTGTAATAATTTGATCTTTATTTATTTTTGTAGACTTATCCCCAATACTCATTCCAATATGGTGTAAACGACCACCATACCGGAGATGTCAAATCACAACATGAAGTTCGTGATGGTTACGTAGTAAAAGGTGACATACAAGTAGAAATTTTCGAAATATAAAAATATTTTATATGTTTGAAGTAATCATTGTTATATCTTAGGTCAATACTCATTGGTTGAACCTGATGGTTCCGTACGCACCGTTAAATATGCAGCCAACGACAGAGACGGTTTCAATGCAGTCGTTTCTAAAACTGGACCGACTGTACATTCCCACGTACATCACGGTTATCACTTGTAACGAAATGATAAGATTTGCTACTGTACATGATCAAAATACCAAGGAATAGCATGTAGTTTATTAATAGCCATACCAATAAAGTTTTAATATAAACATGGTTTTTGATCTAATTATATAATAAAAGATGAATTCAAGTTTTCAAGTTTGGTTAAAGTAATGCTCTTAAAATCGTACAAAGTATTTATTTATTTTGTTATACAAAAATTTTTTTTTGAATAATACATGCAGCATTGCGTGCAATATTTTCAAATATAAACCAATAAGCACTTTTTATATCTGATTTAGAAAACGAATGTGTTACATGACTCAGTAATCATTTTATATTTTGTTTTATAAAATTGCTCTTGTCATTAACGCATTCCTTATCCAATGATCCGTACAATGTAGATTAATGTGTCGATAAAGGAGGGATTAACGACCTTGTTCATTTTCGCTTGAATGACTAAAAATACGTTTATTGAGATATAAAAGACACAATTTTCGCTGATTATGTATCGATAAACAAAGTGCTTATTTGAGGAACAATACAGAAAAGTGCAAGAAAATGGTTTCACTAAAGGTAATTTATATGGTTAATCAAATATTTATTTTATTATAAATGCTAATTTAAGTTAAAGGTATAACTAATTCTATAAATATATAAACAAGATAAATATATATATATATATATATATATATATATATCGATATATATATAAGTATAATTAAATTTTATAGTGTTATTAAATTTGATTAAATTTGCTTTTAGAATTTTTGAATAAACAAATTAATTTTTGTTAACTATGAAAAAAGTGCGTACTATTGCTAATATTTTACAATATATTATACAAAACATATTAAATTTTATATTAAAATACCATTATACAACAGGACAATAATGATGTAATAAATATGTAATATTGATGTAATAAATGATGTAGTAAAATTATATTATAAATCAATTTTTTACGATTTTACGATTTTTCGTATGCATTTCTTTGAAAAAAATTAAAAAAAAACGCACATGATCTTTTCTTTAATTTAATGCAATTTACAGTTTTAAAATTGTATATATTATTCTTTATAACATGCGTCATAATGAAAATATGGAATTGAAATCTAATCTTATTTTGTTATATACATGGCATTAGAAAAAATTGCAAAATATGGAATTGAAGTACATTTTTTTCTTCTGAAGTGATTGAAATATAATAATATTTATTTCTAAATATATAAATATCTAATGTTTTTAATGCTTTAATTATAAATATTTGTTATCAACTCGAATATTTTATAATTTATTAGTATTCTGAATCTTTATGTGGCGTTAACTTAGATTTGTCATAATATGTTTAAAAGTAAATAAATTAAAAACTAGTTGTGTATAGCATTTTGCCTTAAGACGAATTGCTGGAACTTCCAGTACAGTAACGAAATATGTTCGAGAAATATTAAATGTTGTCATATAGATTATTATAAATACTGTAATATTGTCTAATATTTATAATAGTTATATAAACTGAATTACAAAGTTAAAATTTGTTAAAGTATATAAGTGAGCTTAAATAAAGCTTTAGCCAGAATTAAAATTTAAATCTGAATTATTTTCGATATACAAAAAAAAATTTTTGGGTAAAAAAATTAGGAAAATGAGATTTTGATATAATTTTTTGCAAAAGAAATATTTTGTCAAAACAAGCAGAAAGTTTTTTGAATCATTCAAAACAGATGCTTAGTTCTCTCAAAAACTGCTATTTTTGGCATATTTAGCTCGGTATCTCTAATTCATCTTCATCATCATCATTATTTTCGTCGTCTTCAATCAAGTGTTCTTCGCTATCACAATCATCATCAAAACTTTTTTCGTGATTTTCATATCCGTGAAGAATTCTAATCACCACTTCTCTTCATCATTGCAAATTGGATGCTTTTTAGATCATTCAAATCGGATGCTCCGTTCTCTCACAAACTCGATTTATATTTTCTGCATTCTTTGCTCTGTATCTCCGAAACGGGTGAACCTTCCTTAGCCGAAAACTAATCAGCACATGCCCCTATCGATAGAAATCGAATGTTTTTTGAACCATTTAAATCAGTTGATCCGTGCGCCTGAAAACGAAAAATTGTATCCATACATACATACACACATACACGCTATTATTTTTTCTGAGGTATGTCAAAATGTTCAGAAACCTTCAAAACATGGAGAAATGTAAAAAATTTCAATTTGGATTTTTGGACGATTACAATAACTTGCCCTACGGGAAGTTGAAAATATCCTTTATACATATTATTGGCGAGAAATAGTCACCTTTGAGACACTTTTACACCTGTTTGCGTCTACATTTCATATATCAAATCTTGAAAAAAAATATTATACAATTATACGAAAATCACGATATTCGATATATAAAAATGAAATATGGATTTTATGAAGTTAATAGTGCTTAAGAATGAAAACGATATTATATTGAGGTTTGTTTAATCGCCTGCGATTTAAATTTTGTGCTATGTTTATATTCATAGAAAAATATCATTTAATGTACGTAAAAAACCCTATCGGAAAACATCATTTTATATCATGAATCACCAGCGAGCTATTGCGTAAGGACGTGAGCTAGCACAAACTAGTCCGGGTTTGATCGGAATCATAGCTCGATATCAAGTAATATGATAATATTTTTTTAATTTAAGTTGTTAATTTCAAATTTAAATGCAAGTGAAAAACGTTTTTTGCGGACATTTCAGCAGCACTATCGATTCGCATATCTAATATTTAGCACAAAGTAATAGAAAAGAAGAATGATTAACCACTGAGTTGCTCTAAATAAATATCAATCACAATATGGTATTAATACACAAATGCAATAATATTAAATCAAATTTTATAATGATAAAATTAACCATAGTCCTAGAGCGTTCGCAAACCTTTGTACCCTAACATGATTTATTAAAGTTAATGTAGAACATAATAGTGTGCTTCTATTTTTATACAAATATATGGTCTATATAGAAACAAATAAAATTGAACATATGAAATTCATTTAATCATGCATTATAATTTTGCTTTTATTTTTACAGTTGGCGGTTTTTTTTTTTGTTTTATCAGCCGTTCAGGCAGGAGTCATTGATGTCGCTGGTGATCATAGCAAACTTTTCCACGGTTACGATGATCACAAAATTCATGATCTGCATAGTCTACACGATCTTCATAATTTTGATGATCTTGATTTTCATAGCTATGAAAATCACGATCTTCACGGATATGAAAATCACGAAAAAAGTTTTGATGATGATTGTGATAGCGAAGAACACTTGATTGAAGACGACGAAAATAATGATGATGATGAAGATGACGATGATGATGATGAACTTACAATTAGCGACGAAGATTGTGATGATGACAATGAAAAGTTTACTAAGAAAAATGATTTTATCACCAATGATTACGTAAGAAAACACAAATGTGCAGCGCTCACATATTTAATTTTTTTTTTATCTTTACAAAAGTCTCAATGAAAAAGATGTTATTGCATAATATACAAAAATTAAAACTCCGAAATTATGGCAAAAATAATTATCAATTATATATATATATATATATATATATATATATATATATGCATATATATATATATATATATATATATATATATATATATATTGTTGTGCACTCCAGAGCTAACAACAAATATGTTGAGATCCCTACACTGGTACCACATGTTGTGGATTCGCCGTTGCCAACAATTATGTTGTTACCAATGCCTTTACCACTATAAAAATATTTAAATAAACATTCGAAGACGTTTATTAACTTTATTTACTTCATTATTCGGTTACGCTTGATTACAACTTAATACACAATTAATATATTGAGGTG